ATTACCACCAGTATATTTTTCTTCTTGGCAACAAGGACCTTACAACAAAATCAGAAGTCTAAAAATGAGCTAGGTTCTAGAAGATCAAGCTAACCAGGAATTAAAAGCGTGGAAGACAATAGATAACCACTCAAATGAGAGTTGGCAGCCCCGTGTAAGGGGGACAGATAGGGCAGTGTGGGTGTTAACTTCTTCTTTTCCTCCTCCCTCCAGCATGCAGATATTGTGGGGAGCTGTGGGACCAGTATAAACTTTGCTCCAGCCAGCACTGCCGGCAGCTTGTCCTGGCATGTCCAAGTTGTCGCAACAAAGGTCTTACAGCCTGCTGTCCTGTTTGTCAAGAGAAAGAGCTCAAATTGACTTCAAGGGCTTCAGGACAGATACTTAAGGAGGAATGTGATTGTACAAGGAGAAGGCTAAGGGTGCCTATTGAAGATGTCTCACAAAGGATGCTGGTGGCAGGAAAAAATTAAGCCATTTCATTAGCTAATCTGACACGTGTTAATGCAAAGGGCTTCAATAATCAGATCCCTGTTACTCAGTTAGGTTTGGAAACCATGAAAATGTGTTGGCTTTGAAAGTCTTGTTCATGTGCTGCCTTTAAACTTAAAGTATGTGCTGAAACCATCCATTACTTGACCATAAATTACCAGTGTGCCCAACCCACCACTAGCACTACAGGATTCCCTTTCTTGGGTCTTGTAGTGTGGCCTCTATCATGGGGATTTTGGAGCGGAGTTTGTGTGATGGGACACAGATGCTCACAATTCAAAAGAAACTGAAAGGACATAAGAATAATTCCATTCTTTTCCTCCTGCATGGAGATCGATCTGTCCAGCCTCTCCATTGATCGTGCATTTTCTTCAGTAGTTAGGGTGTGAAAACAGCAGATGTGTCAGTTTGGTGTGGGTACGTGACTGGATTGGAGCTGAAGATATTTCCATGTACACGCCATCTGTCTGCCTCCCTTGGTTTATACCAGTGAGTATCAAGGAGTAGTTACACAAAGTCTGACTTGACGCCCGCCTAAAATTGGCTGAAGGCAGAGTAAGGATCCTTCTGGTAACTGGAGCAAAGGCCCACGTCCCATCACACTTCTTTGGTGTGACCTGTAGGATGAGCAGCAAAAGCAACCCTCATTCCAGTGTTCTGTTTCTCCAGGAATTGTTGTTTTCCTTAACTTGTCTGTACATCAAATATCCAGGGCTCAGCTCTGCTTGCAGTACTAAAAAACAACAGCTTGAAGCATGTTGGAACTGAGACACAGAGAAGGGAGCACAGAGGCTGTCAAAATACCAGCACTGTGGCACTGGAAGTGATACTGACGTGTGCATAAATGTCAGTAGCGACTATAAGGAGAATACAGGATCCTTTATTCAAGTTAAATAATTCAAGATTTGGGGAGCATTTGTGCTTTGTAATTAAGCTTTTGAAAAAACTCAGCCCATAGAGATGTCTGCGATTTCCAGTTCGTATGACTGAAGAAATTGGCTTTGAAGGGATCCACAGCATATGAGCTCAAAGTACTTGTCCACCTGCTGCTTTGTGTGCCTCATGCCACAGAATGTACAGAAAGGTTTTATTAGTAGTTTAGAAGATATGTCTGGACTGAAAAATTTCTTAGAAACTTACTGTCATTCATGGTACTGAATAGTAGTTAGTCATTAGGAAGTGAAATCACACTGCTGGGTTTTTTGGGTGGTTTTTTACTTGCAACTGCTTTTCAAAGCAAGAAAACAGTTTACTCAGGTTTCTGCAGTCCTTAATGACAATTAGGGCAAGGTTATTTTCATGCAGATTGTAACCTTTCCCTCCGTGCTATTAATTCAGCCTCATTTGTTGGCTCAACTGGCAACTTACAGACGGGGCATTGGTTCCATTAAAGCCATAGCAAACATTTCTTCAGTCTTCCGGTATTGTTACCATGAAATCAGTGGTTCAGCAACTGTTTTTATGACCCTTCCCTTCATGAAGCAAAGCTGAAACTTATGGATGTCTCCTTTGGAGAGCTTTCTAGGATGGTATTTAATAGTAAATGTGTGCACAAGCCATATTGGAGAAGAAACTGGAAAATTCCCATCAGTAGACACCTTCAGCAGAAGTCTGAGCAGGTCCCCTTGGATCTTCCTTGCCAAGCGTTGCTGGCCTGTTAACCTCTGTGTTTTTGAGGTCTGGAATACTTGTGGAAAAATATGCAAACTGTACATGCAGGCCTGGTCTAGAGCACTGCTGGGAGTGCCTGGCTTGCATACTGTACTCTCTTCGTGTAGTAGGCTGAAAAGAACACAAGATTATAACTCAATCCATCAGTAAGGCTGGAACACTGTAATCTATTTGGGAGGCTGTTTGTATGCCACTTGTCAGGACAGAATGGCAACAACTATATTTTATATGTAACCTCCTGTGATGCTAAATAACCTTTAGTGCTTCCACTGTAATTTTTAAAGTCATGCACAAACATATTTCCACTGCTATGTTGGAGGTGCTTAATTTTGCAGAAATAAATGCTGAAACCTAGCTAGCTGTCTGCCATATGGTAGACCTGGCTATGAGATAAAGTTCTGAGAGTTCCTGGCAGCTGTAGATTCTACCTCAAAGTCAGGGGGGAACCATGGGACCTCTTCTGGTCCTTGCTGCACTAAGGCAAGGGAGGAGAAGGGTTTGAGATGTATAGATGGAGGCCCATAAAGCTAGGTTCCCTCTGCTCCAGAGATGGGAGAAGTGGGGTAAGAGAAATCCCTAGCTTCCCTCTTGCGAGTTAGCCCATGAGCAGCTTCTCTGTCATGCTTCTGGATTCGTTCGTTTTGTCAGATTAATACAAATAAGAACTTGTCATGTGAAATGCTATGTGGTGGATGCCAGGCAACTCAGGGGTAGTGCCTGAGAGAAGGCACATAGCTCTAGGAGAGGTGAGAGTTAAGCAGTGTTGGCTGTGACTGCCAGATACTGCAGTCAGCAAGATGCTTCTTTTCCCTTTTCTTGGAGAGCTCCTGGCTCAGTGACCCATTTGCTCCCAAGCATCACCATTTTGTAGCTCCATCACTGCACAGCTTGATGCCTTTCACCACAAAACCTGATGCCTCTCAGCACAGCCCATCTCCTCACAGATCTTGCATGCATTTTTCAGCAAAGCGGCTCTATAAGAATCAGCTGAGTCCTGCCACCTTACTGTAGGTTTGGGCTGCATGGTTAATTTAGGTGCTGCTATAGTGAAACACAGGACAAGGTTCTTGCTTTTTTTTTTGCCTTTTTTCCTTCTCAAGGGTTTTTTCACTTACGAAAAAATGTTGTAGTATCCATGTAGTGCTCCTTGCTTTGCAGATGAGTCTCCTTGCATGTCTTAGCACTGTCAGGATTTCCCAGGATAAGATGCATTTATATTTGTCGGAAGCCCATGGAAGAGCTGAGCCTGTCCCATGCAGATCTGAGCGGATGGCTCCACTGAAATTGTGACTCGGATTTGATGATTTAGTTGACCATTTTGAAGTCTTTGCATATGGAAGGAAGAGGCTGTCTGCCAGTTTATTTTCTTTTTTTTTTTTTTTTCTTCTTCAATATATTTTCAAGTATTTTTCTGTTGTATTCTTTTCATTTTCTGATAGGAACTTTCAGGGTAGGGGGAAGAAGCTACAGTGAAGCATTTTATTTGACACCATGGGTGCATTTATTAAGCTTTGAAGAGCAACAGACACATTTCCCACACTGCTGAAAGTACAGTGTTGCTCTGTTTCACTGGTCAGAGCTAAATCACAGGTGGCATTTGTGCACAAGCTCTAAAGGAATCTGTGGGACTTTGCAGGGGTATGCATCAAAGGCTGCAAAACTTCACTCTTAACAGATGCGTACAGACAGATATCTAGCAAGTGAAAACATTTTCTAGGGCACGTCATCAGACCAGGAATAAGGCTCTAGAGTGGCAGTGCTTCTAACAGGAGACTCTTCCTACAGAGCAGGATCCCACCCAGGTTAATAGCAGGAGTTTTGGATGGGATAGGGCTGGGTCCACTGCATGTCTGGGAGCTACACAAGCCTGTGGGGAATTCCTCCCAGGCTAGATGGTGGGTGGTAGACTGACAAAGCTATTGGACTATATGCAGTGTAAATTCAGAGTTGGGCTATTTCATTGACCAGCTTTTCTAGGGCACATTTATTGTTGCACTTATGCAGACATTAGGAATGGCAGTAAAAGAAAATCCCCATCAGAACAAAATTTAATTAGTGGACATGGTCATCCAGACAAAACAGCAAAGAGAAAGAATGTGACTTGTTTCCAGTGAGTATTTGGACACACACTTTTAACATTAGGAAACTGAACGAGTAAGGATTAGATAATTAGTTTGGCTATCTGTGTGGGCTTAGGATTTGCGTCACTTCTCTAAAGGTGACTGTTTTCTTCAGGCATGGATAGGGTAGAAGACATGGATAGGATAGAAGAGTTATTAGCCAATCCTAAACCACTCAATTTTTGAGACTTTTGTTTTATAATTGGTGGCCTTAAGTTCCTTATTATTAGGGGCTGGAGAAAACGAAACATGAGGATGTGCTTGAAACAGCACCTCCAACAAATTGCCTCAGCAAAGGTCAGTAAAAACGTGTAATTCACAATTCTTTAAATTAGCCATGTTTCCAGGTAGTAGAAGTGCTTGTTAAACTAATTGTTCCTCCATAGTTGCTTGAGATCAATTTGGGGGAAGAAAAATAAAGTATTTTTTTAATACTTCTGTAATTTGTGTGGAGCAGTTGTTTCTTTCACTCATGCATACCACATCCTGACCGTATGAAACACTGTGCAGGAAGTTTATAGAAAAATTAAGTCCCAGGTTAATTAAGAATCACTTTTACCCTGGGATGTACTCAAAACTGAGACTGCATAAATTGGCTTGAATAGTTTGAACTCTACAGAAAACATCAACAGTCCTACTGGATAAAATCTTCAACTACAGCCACTAGTTAATTTAAACTGATCGATAGTGCATAAAACAGAACCGAGGCACCACAAATACTCTGTCAAGGCACTTATTGCCTTTAGATTTCCACAGTGTAGAACAGATCACCGGGAATGACCTCCACAGCCAGGAATTACACTCCAGTTCTGCACTTGGGAAAAATAGGCCCATTCAACTCTGCAAGTCTTCTCTTCCTCACTGAAAAAGAAGAAGAGGAATCAGTCATGGCAACGGGAAGACATGGATGGCAGGCTTGGCTTGCCCGCTGCGGAAAGGAGCCGAGAGACCTACTTTCTGCCAGGAAAGAAAGCGGATAGCATCAGCTTCTGAATTCCTGCATTAAGCAGCAGACACAGCCTTACACAGTTTAAAATCAAGGAAGATAAGATGAAGTTTCCATCCCTGTGAATTCTTGGGGCCAGAAGCTACTTTCAGCCTTACCTCCCTTATTCTACAGTCAGTTGTAGTTCACACAGTTTGTAATGTGACTGTGGCCAAAGCATCACCTGATGCTAACTGATGTAAAAGCAAGAGGTGGATGTCACAGTTTTATCTTTGCTAGTTTTTCTTAATTGCCCTTTCAAATGAAAAGAAAATAAAATTATCTTTTTTTCTTATCCTAAGCCTTCAGCCTCCAGCCCTCTGATCATGGTTATCACAGTCACAGCAGCCTCATACCTACTAGTAAAGCTGATGTACAGCTCTGAGAGCTACACTCACAACTTTTCAAGAAACATGTAAGGAAAAAAGGGGAAAAAAAGGTATAAAGGAATGGAGAAGTTAGCTTATGAGGATGAATATAAAAGCCTTCATAGTTGGTTCATACAGAGCATCTCAGAGAACAGAAGCTGTGAGACCAAAATCAAGTTCTGCCAGCATCAGGTGATGGTAGGCAAGAGCACTGGAGTGGAGCGCAAGCAGAGAGCTATTGATGATAGGGAGGAAACTAAAGTTTTTCTGTACTTATACATTATCCAGGTGTAGAGCTGAGATGCTATTGCCAGAGACCATCTGATCAATGAGTATGAGCTGCAAACAAGAATCAGATCAGACAAAAAAATGCAAATCTTAATAAAGGCAAATTTGACAACTGTTACCTGGAAGGCAACTTGTGAATTCTTCCCTTTAACAGCAGGAACAATAAAACAGTAAACAGCAGGAACTGGATTCAAATCTTCCAGCTGATTACTTTGAATGCCAGGTGCTGCACAGTCATTAAAAATGTTGCTCTCTTCAAAAGGACAAAAAATAGCCAGCCTTTCCTGGTGCAGCTCTCTAGTGACCAGGAATGCAGCCACAGGCAGAATAAATGTGCAGTGAACCATAATACTGAGTATTCAGTGTGGTCCCTGAAGAACTGGCATATACTCCTATGTTTGGCCATGTTTCCGAGGAACACAATTCTTCCTCAGGTACAGAAAGGGTATCTGCAAACTTCTGCTTATTTCTCCCAGATACATTGTCTGCCGGTGCTGAGAAGTTTGGTGCTGTCAAGTCTGTAAGCAGCATGGCTGGTCCTGAATGTTGGCTGCATTCAGTACTGCTCTGCAGGACTGATTCCCAGCGCTCTACAGTAGCTTTTAGCCAAGCAGTGGAAAGCCCCTGCTGCATGCATCGGCTGAAGTGGCAGTTTGCAGACTTGCCCATGTTTCGCTTCATAAGCAGTTGCCATCACTTCATTGAGGGTATAAAGATAACTCAAAGCCATGTGGCTTCCCACCTCTCCTTAGAAACACTTCCCATTTGTTTTGCCGAAGGGGACGGGCCAAGGCCCGCTACCTCCAAAGTTCAACTCTACTACTTTTCATCTCCTTGTTAAAGTGGGAATGAAGCTACAGGAAGACAAGCAGTTGGCAGGAATCACAAGTGCTGGCAGCTCATAATCCATGTGCCATATGCTGTATCATGTGCTGTGCCGAAGCACGTTAGCAGCTCTCACTCCTTCCCAACAAGACCCACTGTTACTGCCAAAAACACTGCTTCTGGGAGATCTAGCTGTCCAGTGTCTCCAGGTTTGGACCACAACCCTTTCCAACAGCAGCTGCATTAGGGAACCAGTCAGTGAAAGCTGCTTTCCTTCTCGAGAGGCAAGGCATCATCACACCCTTCAAGAGGTGGTTCCTAATTCAAGCGCATCCACCAGGGCTTTCAAGCCAGCATTTCTGCCCTTCTCCCACCAGGAACTGCCCACAGGACCTTCCTGTGCCCCCTGGCTTGCAGCCCGACTCACCTAGGTCATTGTTATTCATCATGGCATTGGAGGCGCGGAGCCGGGGACCTTGCTGAGTGAAATGGTACCCAAACTTCAGCAGGGAGGTGTTCTTTTCCAACATGCTCGCAATCTCCATTTCTACTTTGTTGCCCAAGGGCTGGCTCTTTAGAAAACAGAAAAGCAAGCTGGTCTTGTCAGAGAGCGATTCAGAATAAGCACTTTTATCTGCCATCTCCATCCTTTCCCTCCCTCTTTAGACCTGTTGGTCCATCTGGCATTCCTGACTTGGAGCTGGTGAAACAAACCACTGGCCTATTCTTTGTACAACCAAGTGGCTCCAACTGCAGCAGCAGATGTTCCCGTAAGTCCTCTTGCCCAAAGACTTGGACAGATCTGCAGCTAAGAGATGTCTGGAGAAACTGATTTTGAACTCTCTGTCACCTGCCCCTGAGCTCCCTGTAGCTCAGCTGCTTTTTTTTGTTTGTTCGTTTGTTTTTAAACCCCATGGGTTTACTACCACCCCATAGTCCCCGGGGGACCTAAACGTGCCACAGCACCTGCTCACTGCACACACTGGAGCTCTCTTTCCATTGTACATTTCAGTTTTACTAAACATTAGTTAAGTCTCTGCAAGAGCTCAGAGCAAGGTGTGATACTGGAGAGGTGTGGACAGCTGCATTACCACTCTCCAGGGAAACGCAAGCACCATGGGAAGCTGATAACTGTATAGTAGCAGATGCTGCCCAGGAACTGCAGCAGGAACAAGGGGCTGAAACATCTTCAGTGCAGCCTGGCAGTGGTGGTGGGCTGCCACCCTCCACCTTGACCAGCCACTCAGTTTCCTGCACCCAGGACACGTTCATTTGGTCACAGCTCCTGCTGGCACAGGCTTTACCTGGTTGTCAATGCGCAGCTCTACTAGAGAGGTGTTGCCCTGGAGTGCTTCCACAACAGCCAGGATCCCGGACCCAGAAATGAAGTTGGATTCCACATTCAGGCTCTTCAGCGTGTTGTTGACTTTCAGCATTTCTGCCAGTGCCTGTGGGCAGAGGGGAGCAGGAAGAGCTGGCAGTGAGAGTTAAGGGGTTCAGCAGCAGGGGTTCAGCTAACCTTGCCTCCAGAGGGCATTGTGATGACCCCACATGCTGTGCAGTTTCACCGCCACCAGATGGGAGAGCTCTGTGTAGAGCGAAAGGGATTCCTGAACATGAGCATGTGGGAGGCCACAGTGAAACCTTGTATGGAAAGACCCTTAGGGCCACCCCAAGAAGCAGCAGTCCACACCTATGAATGCCCTGTGACAGCTTCACCTCTCTAAAGCCAGCATGGTGATGGCAGGGATGTTGTCCAGCTTCATCCCTGCCTCCTTTCTGCACTGCTCGTTCTGTGTGGGGCTGAGATACTTCCTATCACAGCAGGCACAGAGAAGAGCATCTGTCTTGAACAAGAAGGGATTCCCCACATCCAAGTTATCTTCCCAAGTAGCATCACAACCATATTAATCACTTCTGCTTCCCTCAGCAGGTAAGACCAGAAGAGGGCTGGCACACTCCCACCCCGCCCTGTTCTGATCTGACATTTCATAAGCTGCATGGGAGCACCCATCTATGCCATGAAGCAGAAGGACCAGCAGGTAATGTCCAAGTAGCTGGGCTGGCCTGTACATATTCACACAGCGCTTGGCTCCTGCACAGTGTTCCAAGGGCCCTCAAACAGCATCAGTGCTGCCTGCACAAGCTCCTTCCCCAGTCCAGAGTGCCTGAAATACTGCGAAGGCTACACCTGCCCTCCAAAAAGAAGGGTTTTTCCTAACAGGCAACTTGTGTGCACGTATGTGTGTGGAGGTAGGCAGGGTGAAGAAGACCAAAAATCAGTTGCAGTGGTGCTGGAGGTGTGTGCAAGGATGCAGCTTGGAATGCAGCAAGAGGTACAGGCAGAAAGCTGAGCACCTCCCTGCATCCCTACTGATATTTAAGAAAGACCACTTGCAGCAGCCAGAAAGACCCTTTATCACCCACAGAAGAAATGCAGTCCTGCTTCTGCATAGGTCTGCACAAAGGAATATATGAAAGAGCTGGAGTAGACGCGTGCGAAGGGAGGGATGGTGTGCACACAGCAGTGTATGGCTTTGTACCAACAGAAACCATAGGGGTGGCCCTGGTGTAGGATAAGAGACACACTGCTTTTACAAAGTGCTACTAGGAAGTCAGTTTTTGTCTCCCACCTGCCTTCTGGGAGTTCCTTGAGGACAAATATGAGACGAAATGGGATTAAACAATTGCGTCCTGAAACCTCCACACGTCTGTCCCAAATCTCCACAAATGTCCTGTCTGTCGCTGGCTTTCACTAGCACCAAACATCAGAGGCGCGGAACATGCCAAACGTGATGTGAGGTGCAAAAGCAGTCAGTAACTCCAAAAATACCTTGCCCAGGAACAGCTCCTGTCACAACGTTAAGACGATGAGCCAACGGTACTTACGAAAGCAACAGGATCATTGCTCCGTGTCCCAACTATACTGAACTTCTTCACATAGGTGTTATTTTTCAGAGCTTCCGCAAAAGCTTTTAGAGTTGGTATGGGAATATTCTGTGAAAAGAAGTGCAGAAAACCTGTTAGGCCATTAGCCATATGAAGAAACGTGATACACTTAGATGATACTTTAAGTTTCTTACCCAAGTCAAATCACCAAATGCACAGAAGTAATTTAAGAAGGGGTCGATAAATGTTCTTACAAGTCCTGTTCCTATAATCAGTGTTGCCTAAGGAGCATGGCAACTTCTTCCCCTCTCCAATGAAAAAAGGCTGAGAGAGTCAGGATTGTTCAGCCAGGAGAAAGCTCCAGCAATACCTTAGAGAAGCTCCCAGTGCCTAAAGGGGCTGATAAGAAATCTGACAGGGGACTTTTTACAAGGACATGTAGTGACAGCACAGGGGGGGGATGACTTTAAACTGACAGAGGAGAGATTGCGATGAGCTCTTAGTCAGAAGTTCTTCTTTGTGAGAGTGGTGAGGCGCTGGCACAGGTTGCCCAGAGAAGCTGTGGCTGCCTCATCCCCAGCAGTGTTCAAGGCCATGCTGGACAGGGCTTTAACAGCCTGGCCTAATGGAAGTTGTCCCTGCCCATGGTAGGCGGTTGGAACTGGATGAGATGTAAGGCCCTTTCCAACCCAAACCATTCTGTGATTCTACAATTCAATTTCCCACTCTGCTGATAGCTCACTGCTTTGATTTGAAGCTACAGTGTCCCTGCTGTTTAATTTAATTTCCCAGAAACTCATCTACTTAGGAGCACAGGTGCTGTGGAGATGTATGTAACTAAGATCCATGAGCCTACAAAGTGCTGTTCTTGCACTTTTTAATACAGATGACAGCACTAAGCAATATTAATGTCATGTTCAGGAAAATTTCCACTTACGGGGCTTGATCCAGAAAGATATGAAACCATCTCCTTGTAAGTACAAACCACAGACACCTCTGATTGATTGCTTTACACAACTTCTTTCAGGCTAATGTATCTACGCTGCTTATTCTGGTTCCTGCAAAGTGAGTATTTTTCACTTATCCAGCGCTCCAGATGTCCTTTTCAGATGCACAAATTTTTTCCTGTCTAAAATTTTAAGTTTTATCCTCACTTTGGAGTTCTTGCCACACCATCGGGATCTCACTGTGTGGAATCACGTATAGTCAAAGCCATAACACAGGGGCCAGCAGTTTACCATCTCTACTGCTACCCAGCTCTCCAAACCGTGTCCCAAAGTCATGAGTCCAACATACGCAAAAGTGTCTCCCTGCCAGATCCTCAACCTGCTGTCCTCAAGGGACCTTCAGGGTCACTAGCCAGAATCAAGTACACTAAAGTAAAAATCTTTTCCTTATAGGAAGGTGCAGGTGGCATGGCACAAGTGTTTTTAATGTGCATGTGCAATTAACCACATTCTTGCTATTTGAATATGTCATCACCATTCAACAGAGCCCATGGGATGGAGGTCCTGGAGTCAGGGGGGACAGATGGAAACTGTATTTTTTAGCATGTGTATGTGTCCCAGAGCCAACTAAGAATTGGTGCCCTGATTTGCTTTCTACAAGTAGTACAGGTGTCCCAGAGAACTAATGGGTGGGAGATGGACGGGGCTATCTGCAAGAAGGGAGGTTTCTTCATATTGTCATTGCAAGTGTCAGGATTTTTCCTTCTTCCCCACACCATTTTATCTTAACATAAACAGCCCCCTGCCCCCAAAACGTGCCTGACTGAACTGCTAAAGCAACCTAGAATGCTTTTAACCAGACAGGCTGGAGATGGGTCTCCCAGACTACCCTAAACACAGCTTGTCTCTTTCAGGCACCTACAGGAGTCCTCCTGCTACCAACCCCAAACCGTTGCCCCACAGCAGGTAACAATCCCTGTTGCCCAAAACAGGGATAGGAAGCACTGGCATTCCTTGTCTGGCTACACAGTGTTACAGTATCACTGTGCAGCAAAAAAGACTTGATAGACAGAAGGCAGAAACCAAGTATTTGGTTCTGTTACTAAGGAGAGTAGGAAGGAGCAAATACCATAATATTGTTAAGGTTGACTTCCTCAAGGTCAGGATCATTGCTTTGTATTAGTTTCAGAGTTTCTTCTACATCTGTTGAGTTTGGTTCCTCATCAGGAACTGGTTTGTACTGTGTGGGCTTAATCACACCTGCAAGTGACAAGCAAGACATGTGAAACAGAAAGCACCCTGAGCAGCAGCATGGTCTCTTCCAGAAGCAGTGCTGGGAAAGGGAAGTGTGACTGGACACAGATGCAAAATGAGAGACTGAACAAGCATTCATCAGCTCCACCTGTGCTCACGTATATACACCAATGCTGCCTGTCACTGGGGCCAACTGGTGCAGGACAGGGTGCCTGCTGCTAAGTGCTCTCTGGGTCCAAACCTGGGTGAGGGAGGACATGCAGCCTAAAAATAATTCCCACTTTGCCTCTGCTAGCAGCTTCAAAGCCAAATGCTGCAGCCTGCTGACACTCTAAATCACTTACTGTTGAGCCCCTCTTTGTTCACGATGGTGGTGCTCCCCAGTGCCTCATAGTACTGTTGATTACTCATCAAGGTGTGCATACCAAGGATGGCTACAGAAAAAGAGGAGAACATGAGTTACTACGGGCTCCAAAGCCAGGAAAAGATGCATACATGCTGTGCTTCCTGTAGTACATCACCTTTCCCTGGACAAGCACAGAACAACATACAAAGGAGGGACCAAGCCTTTAAGCTGTCATAAATACACAACAGGGCTCAGATATGCTCCCTTGTTTATTCCAATGTAGCACAATTCATAGGAGAAGAGGGCCATCATCTTGTGAACAACAACCAGACAAACAGCCGAGGCTTCTCAGCAGCCAATTTGATTCAGCATCACACAAAAACAGTGAGGGGAAGACAATAAAACACTAAAATTGCCATAGGTAGGATTTAACCTAGGGGGTCCAGTCCAGCAGGAGCCCACGCATCCTCATCCCCCTTGGGCACGTGCCACTCACTGTGACAGTCAGTGTGTGAGATGCGCTGCTTCCCATGCAGAGCCAAACCGACCCCTCAGGCAGCAACATACAAGGTATTGACTGCCACCCAAAGCATGGCAATGCACTCTATGTTTTTACTCAACAATGAGCAGGGCAGTGGTGGTGGTGTGCTTTGAACTGATCTGTGTAAGCTTGGAAGTTGACAGTGTAAGAAGCTAAAGCTCTGGTGGCTCAGACAAAATGCAGAAAGTGATGGTATGAACAAAAGTCAAAGATTGTAGGCGACCAAAAGCTGAACTTCTGCCAGTTTGTGTACCTCAGGCTTATAGCTGCAAAACCAATACGAAAATGCACAAGGGGATCTGCTGACATTCGTGCCAGCTGCAAATGGGCAGTGGGAAGCCAATGGCTTAGAAACATTCGAGCAAAGGGTCTGTTTTAAAAATAATTCTGCTACTCACAAGAAGCTCATGTTTGAAAATAAACTGGCTTTTTAATCAACCTTTCTTTTACAGCTATATGACTTTCTAAAGAAAAATGCAGACATGTGAACACTTGCTATAAACAGACACATTTGAAGAAATCTTGGCCTCCAGATGTGCACAGTGGCTAAGGTAAATAAAGGACATAACTCCCTAAAATTCAAACATGCCACCACAAAGGCGCTTTGCTTTCCCATGAGCTGCTCCTCTTATGCTTGGCTGGCATCAGTCTATCACTATTTCCTCAATGCTTGGCCAAGAAGGGCCAAGAGTTGCAGGAGAAGGCTATTCTTGAAGCCCATAACATGAATGACATCTGGTATGGTGTCAGCTCGCTGTAACTCCAGGTCTGGGTTGCACAAGCAGAACAGTCGGCAGCAAAGGATGTGAACAAACACCACCATCCATTCCCTAGCACATCCCTGACTGGATTTTACAGAGCCCAGCAGCCTCTGTCTCAAAGTTTGAGTGAGGCTGGGCACTTTGGGTTTGCTGTTTGTGTTTTAGCTGGACCCCTTCTCTGCCATGTACTCAGAGATAAAGCTTTCGGGAGTGCAAAACAGCCCACAGAAATCATTTGCAGGCTCAGCATTTTGGGGACACACATATGCCCCAAACACAGCTTACTCTGACAACAGAATCTCTCCACCAGACAGGACTGTGGACAGAGGGAAGGATCTGCTGCTATGACCATGCAGGGTTTTGTGGGCTAGAGCTTGTGCTGGTAGACAAAAGAGACCTGCTGTTTGAAAGCCTGGTTCTTGCTGTGTATTATTCAAAAGAGCTCGAGGAGAATTTCTGCCTCCTCCAGCTGACCAAAGACCCAGGAGACCTTCCAGGTCCTGATGGGAGCCACCCACAAGACCTATCCGACTGGCCTTGCCAAAGAAGGGATCCAATACATCATGGCTGACAATGAGCCCTGCTAAATGGGCAGGAGCAAAACGAGCTCCTATAAGTGAGCCTTGCTAAATAGGCAGAAGCAACACTGCCACTGTCAATATTGAGATTTCAGCACAGCCTATATCTCATCAGTTCTCCTGCTGCCACTTCAAGTGCATTCTCCCAACAACTGTAGAACAAGGTGCCCCAAAACAGCATTTCTTTGTGAAAATAAGTGCTGCACAGATAAGGAGTTTAGAAAGGCAGATTTTATAGGACAGGGCTTCACAGGGCTCTAGAAGTACAGAGCAAAACCCAGAGATGCAGTGCGTGGCCAGGGTACATATGTTGGATGCCTTAATGCAGAAATGCATTTCTAAGGTGGAATATGCTGTTATTATGTAGAAGATGTCTAGTTGGGGTGGTTACTCTACAGGCTATCTTACAGACTTCTGGCAAGGAGGATACTGCTAGGGAGTATGGAAGTTTGAAGGAAATGGAACTGGAAGAAGAACCAGTAGCACTGAAATACTCATTGACTGCTACACCAGCAGGGATGCGTGAGCTCAGTAAAGCACCAGGAGGTTGTGCTGGTCTCGGGACAGAGTCAATTTTCTCCCTAGCAGCTGGTACAGTGCTGTGCTTTGGCATTAGTCTGAGAGTAATGCTGAACCATGACAGTGGTGTTCACATGCTCCTTTGGCTAAGACATATACAATCCCAGTCACAGAGCTAAGTCCACGCTACTGGCTTTGGCAAGATACCAGTACTGTCATCTCTGAAGTGGCAGAGCAAAGAGGCTTGCAGGAGGTCACCTCCATTCAGACAACAGTGCCAGAAAAGCAGCAATGGGACACTGCTTGAACCTGCCTAGCATGGAGGTGTAAGCCCCTCAGGTAGGTAGGGGCTGTGCCCATCCTCGCCTCATTGAGCCTCCTGGTGGAGAGCTCACTGTCAGGGCTTGAATGGGGCACCTGAAATTGCTCTGCCACCATCTCCAGCTTGCTGTGCATTTCAACCTGCTTCTCAGTCATCAAGTGCACCAACCTTTCAATGCTGGATTCTCCTACCTGTGAACTAACACTCACAAATCTGACTGACCGCACAAATCGCAATAAAACCATGGCTTTACAATGAGCTGGAAAAGCTTCTTAACAAATCACATCCCTGAGCATCCATTGCAGGTCAACTCTAACCTGACAGCTCTTATAATAGGTTACACAAGAAATCCACATTCTCACTGGGTCTGCTTGATTGTTTCCCAGAGATTTGGCTCGAAAAAAGCTATGCTCCTGAAGGTGGTAGGCTGCAATTTGCAAGATTCAGTCAGCAAAAGAGATTAAAAAGCACACTCTGTTCCCTTGATAAATGCCTGGTTGATGAGGGGAAGGCTGTGGACACTGTCTGTTTGGACTTTAATAACGCATTTGACACTGTCTCCCACAGCATTCTCCTGGAGAAACTGGCTGCTCATGGCTTGGATAGGAGGACTGTGGAGACAGTGTTCTCACAGGAGAATGGATAATTGGTACGTAAACTCTGAATAATCCTGAAAGATACAGCAAGGCCGTGAGAGGCCCAAGGAAGCTTAAGCAAGCAAGATAAGAAGATGTAATGAGAACTGTGGACTGTTGGCAAGCTTTCAAGGTCAAGTTCCCACACCTGTGCTTAACCAAGTATATGCTAGTTGCAAAGGGTCTTCAGGACATGTATCCAATCATAATATGCCAAATCACTGTAAGTGAATGTAAGAAATAGTATTTAAGGGGTTAAGGCTTTGTAATAAATGGCTTTTTGTCTGATCATATTGATCTCTGACTGAGTCCATATATTTTCTGCGGCAGAGGACTCTTTCCAAACTTTACTGGTTGGAAAGTGGTTGGATGGCCTGTCTGAAGAAGACTCACGGGGGGCCTTATAGCTCTCTACAATTGCCTGAAAGGAGGTTGTAGTGAGGTGGGGATCAGTTTCTTCTCCCAGGTAACAAGTGATAGAACAAGAGGTTACAGCCTCAAGCTGTACCAGGGGAGGTTTAGATTGGATATTGGGAAACATTTCTTCACAGAGAGGTTGCTCAGGCACTGGAACAGGCTGCCCAGGGAAGTGGTGGAGTCACTGTCCCTGGAAGGGTTCAAAAACCATGTAGATGAGGCCCTCAGTGACATGGTTTAGTGGTGGTCTCGGCAGTGCTGGGGTAATGGTTGGACTGGATGACATTAAAGGTCTTTTCTAACCTAGTTGATTCTACGATTCTTCTCTCTCCTCAGCTTTGGTCTATGCTGCTGATTAAATTACAAGAGCTGAGAGTACTTTAAACACACACTTCTCTTTTTTTTAACAAAGAAATAAATCCTGTCCAAACTTGCCAGCATTCAGATTAATGGCAAAATGTTCAATGGCTCATTTACCATGAAAGAACAAACAAAAAGAAACTAGTAGCCAAAAAACTTTTTGACTCATGTGAAACTATTTTACCAGCAATGTCACAGAGCTCTGCATCAGAGGCATTAGCAAGGGCTTCCTCCAGTTCCGGCTCCAGGGTCACACTTTCCAAAACAGGATCCATCGGCTTCTGCTTGGGGATCCAAGCTTTTCCTATAAATGCAAAACAAGGTCACTCTCAGTATAGCTACAGCACCTGTTTTACAATTAGCTGTGCAGATGCATTTCCGTGGGTGAGATCTGCACAGTGGAAAGGACGGGGGGCACAAAGACCTAGAGAAAAACTGGAGCAGACACTGAATCCCTTCCCATTAGGCTGGCCTGAGTCATGCTGAGGTGTGAGCAAGGAGGCACGTGCCAGACACCTCCAGCGGTGGAGCTAGACTTTTTCACCAGCCCAGAGGCTGCACCTACGAAAGCCTGGCAGTCCGTCTGTAGAGGACAATGATGATTCAACACACAGCAGTCAGAAAGCCACGCACAGCTCGACCCTGGACTTCACCTCCTTGAAGGCTGCATGAAAGGGATGGAGATTTGCCAGCTCTCACATGGACCAGAGAGGCCAGGGGCCTGGGGCCAGCACTGTGCAGCATCGGTCCTGCCAGGGAGACAGCTCCTGCTGCTAACTCCAACCACATGGAGACTGGGCAGATGATACATCAGTCAGAAGAGGGTGGAAAGGAGGTAGTGGAGTATGTCTGGCAGCAGGCAGGGATGGCAGCCCGGCAAGCACACGGGGTACAAAGAGAAGCAGGTTTCAGGCAGCTCATTGAGCTCAACATTAGGACAAGGGGGGGAGAGAGACACAGAGGGCATGTCAGATGGAGACCTCCATGCTCTTATCTCCCAGAACAGTAACAGGTCAGAGTTGCAAAGCAACAGGTACAGCTTTTAACATAAAGCTGCTTGTTTGAGGCCCTTTTCTATGAAGGCCTGCCCATCTGGATAAGGGGCTGTGCAGCAAGTGGCACAGTTCCAGTCCAGCTCTGAATGCCGTGGGCTCCTGTCAGACCCCATGCCCAGGATGATCACCAGGCAAGCCACAATGCTTTCTCTGCCAAAGCTGGCTGCATCCCAAGGAGTTGTGGGGCAGCGGGAGTGGTTCGCAGCACTGCATGCAATGCTCCCAGCTCTCACTGCTCACAGTGCCAGCGGGTGGGCAGCTATATTTGTGAAGGTCTGAGATTTAACAGCGGGGCACCTACCTGCGCCTGTCCGCGCTGCCACAGAAGAACACACAGGATGAAGCTTGTGGTGTTTCATACCACCACAGCAGGGAGCAGTCTGTTGGGTAAACCCATCGCTGCTGCAGGGTGGGAGGAGGGATCCCAGAGCAGTCCCCTCCCCTGAGATAATCCAGGATCACTGCAGAGAGATAGCGAGCGCAAAGCTCTCAGCCTGGCATACCAGCCAGGACTATTTTTGTCACCTTCTGAAACCAGAGTCAGCAGCACCAAAGGGGAGAAAAAAAGATCCTGCTGCTCAGGGATGTGCAGAAACAGAAGGGGCTAAATTTAGCCTCAAGGAAGAGGAAACTGTGCTTCAGGCTCCCCTGCTTTGAAATAGAGGCTGCTATAAACAGCCATCTCCTGCCTGCGCACTACCGCCCTGATGAAGAGGGCAGCAATCTGCCTCCTGGGACATAGCTGCTCTAACAAAAATAGTCAGTGTCATATGTGCCTGCAACTGCCAGGCACCTTCTTGGTACCCTGCCTGTGAAGGGCTGTTACCCTCAGCTCTGCCTTGGTGTGGGGACCCAGAACCACTGTCCCACTGGACATGTGGCTCAGCAAACTGCACACCATCTGGTCAGTTCAGCAAGGAACAGGAAAAACAGGGCAGCTTAATTCTGCCATCACACAGCAACTCCTCTTGACATTTCAGCGCCATTGAAACTTACGGGGTTTAGTTGTAGAAAGTTTCATATCTCAGTCATGCTTCATTATGAGTTTGAACTTTAAATTAATAGGTGCATTCAAACACAGAATTATATATCATATTGCAGCGTGTATGCACGTGCCAACTCCTACCCTGTCCAGCAGCATGGCCAGGGAGAGCACCTCCCATGGCAAGCTAGTAAATCACCCTTTGAACTGCAAATGCGGTGATTTATTTCCACAGCTGTGAACATATAATTTGCTACCTCTGTTTCACAGTCACTGTAAGTAATGTCTTCACTCAACTGTGTGTTACAAGTAAAATATATTTAATGTGTTTGAGATCACATCACATTGAAATATGATTAGCTCAGACCAGGAGCTGGAGGCTGAAAATGCCTGAAATACCTTCACCTCCTGCTGAGCGCTGCTATTACCTGCTGGGCTAGGGTATGCTTGAAGTTGCTAAATCACTCTTACTGATAGCACTCAATTTACTTCTTTCAAGGAAAGCGCTTTTCTTTTTTTTTCTTATTCTTGCCTTTTTTTCCTACAATTACTACCTCCAGTTTTATTAAATGGACAGATTTAACACAAGCTCTTTCACAGCAAGCTATGTGGATCAGTAAGGAGGCAGCTTTGAGAAACACCACAACTTGGAAGCATGCTCACATGCTTAAATTTTAATGCACCTCTTTTTGACATGGGGCAACTAGTAGTGAGAGCAGCACGCAACCAAACCTGCCACAGGGAGATCATGGTACAAGGGGAGACAACAGCAGAAAAAGGCTGCTGAGAAGCTCCTGGAACCCAGAGGCAAGGATTAGACTGAACCATGTCTCACATCAGATGATATTCAGAGAGCTAAGAGGAGCAGGAAAGTCCTTTGGATAATACAACATGTCCCAGGACAACAGGAAAAGATGCCAGAAGAAGAGGTAAGAGACGAGGCAGAGCAAACCATTTTCTCAAAAGCCCCAGGACCACAGAGTAGAGGTGCAGGGTATGGTGCAGGGAGACAGAAACATGCAAACTGCAGAAGACTTGGAAATGGGGCTGGGGTTGTCAAGAGGTGATGAAGACTAGATAGGAGCTGTTGGGATCATCACAGCTGAGGGGAGCTGTGGGGTTTCTCTATAACAAGATAAAGTTCAGAACGTAAGGATGGGGGATGAAAGGTAGTGCTGGAAGACAGAGTGCAGCCTCCAGAGCTCACAGGGCAGAGGAGGAACAAGAGAGGACAGAAGAGGATGTCTGCCCCAGAGCCTGACACAGCTGCAGTGGGATGGGGACAGAAAGAGGCTGCACAGTGGTACAGCCTTTGTCCATCACTTACCAGATGGTACCCAAATTAGCAAGCACATCAACCTCTTGGACACACCCGAGTTTATCAGCCAACATGGGCTGGAACTAGACAGCAGATCCACCACCCCAGTGGTGTCAAAATGAAGTCCTGCTTAGCAATGCTGGTCAGGCACAGCCCTTTTGTTGTGCACGCATTGTCCCTTCATCACAACACACAGAGTGTGGTGCAAAGGATGACCATACCTCTCTTTTCACCCGTGAAAGGAACCAAGTCTTCTCTGTCTTTAACATCCTTTGCTTGCTTTTCTAGGTGGGCCATGAGTTCCTCCCTTTTGAATGGGCCAGTTGGCGGTTTTTGTGTCTGATCCCGCTGCCTGAGCCCTGCTGGCAGCAGTGCGTTCTGGGCAGAGAGGGGAGAAACACAGGTTATCTCTTCAGGCCTCATCCATCAAACCCTCTCCCCTCTCCAATTTCCTTGTCCTTCTGCGGAAGGTTATCCTGATCTAACCAATTCCCACATAATTTAAAACATGTAATGCTCCTTCCCCCCTACCATTTCCAATTCTGGCTCCACTGCAAGATCTCCATGCTGCCAAGTGGGTGTTTCTCCACAACAGCAGCTTTCTCTGGGAGCTCTCAGTCATCACCTCCTGCTATTCCTAGCCTCTTCCCCACCCTCACCATTTCTGCTGCCTCTTCACAACAGCTACAGCATCAGAACCAAGCTGCTGCACTCAAGTGGTCTTCTCCCTATAGGTGCATGCCAAAGGGCCCACATGCCCCATGTGTCCAAACAAAAAAACAGTTCAGGGAAAGCCATTGTCTCCCACAGAGCAAAGCAGAGAGCTGAGGTGGTCTCCTCTCCTTCATGTCCATCACAAAACTACAGAGAAGGTCACTCCATTCAGAATAAAACCCCTGCAGACCTCAGCCCTTCTGCAAACTGCCTCATTATTCAGTCACATTAGACTCCATGGGAAGTTGCTTTGTGCTTGATACATGTGGCACGTAAGCACCTGCTTATGTGTAAATATAGAACAGCCTTAATGCAGTAAGACTGTTCCCAGATTTGGCACTAAGCATGTTCTTTAAAGCTTTGCTGGATAGAAGTCAACATTTACTTTTTAAGACAACCAAGGTGATTTTGAACACCACACTGATCTTTCCATGTCTGCCTAATAAAAGTAACTCATTATAATTAAAATTTTTATCAGTGAAAACCCTGAGAAGGACAGTGACTAATTGGAAGCAATTAGGCTTGCGCAACCTTAGGAAGCAAGAGAGAAGAACTGCGCTAATGCACAAGGAAGGAGGTGTAGGAAACAGCTTGCTTCCTCAGGCTTCATGCTGCGAGGGATGAGCATGCAATATCTGTGCTTTAACTCCTGTACTCAGGCTATGCCTGCAGTGGCAGATGTTTTTACCTTTACGCACCCTTCGCTGCACACTGCCTGACTCTGCGTCTTCCGAGTCAGCTGTAACCAGCCCATCAGCCCATGCATACACTTAGTCCCAGGAGCCAGCCTGCTCCTCTTAATAATTTTCCTGCGTTGCAATTAAAAATACTGATGATGCAACCACCACTGCCCATCATTTCACCCAGGAACACTAACTGCTTGTGGCAGGAACAATCTCTCACTTGGCAGTGCCCAGCCTCATCATCTAACGTTGCCGTAATACAGGGGCCTGCCAGTTGGCTCTGTGCATCCCCTGCTGGGGCCACAGGACCGCTGCCTCCAAACAGCTTTCATTGCTTGGCATCAGCACACCCAGTGTTTGCATATGTGTAGCTCTTGCTAATATTGGGAGATTGCTAAAAAGCAGTTGCCCCTTTTTGCAAAGCTCTGGGATTTGGATTTCTGCCTAAATGGAGAAAAATACAGAGTGTTTGAAGTTTGCCATGAAAATAACCTCCAAACAATCCACAAATCCCAAAACATTCCTTCCAAGGTGGCCTGATCAGAAGCAAGAGATCCTGTTCCTGCAGGTTTACCACGCTGCACCAGTACTGGCTTACACTGGTGCTGTAAATCACAGCAGAGCGTGCAAACTGGGGCAAGGGCAGAGGAGTATCACAGAAACAAAGTCCCAAGTGTAGCCTGTGCTTGTGATAGCAAAACTGCTGCTCACCTGTGGCCAGTCTCCTCCATCCTTGCACTGAGTACAGACTCTGCACAGGATCCCACTTAGATACAGATTACTAGTTCAGCCCATTCCCCTACAAATACAGAAATGTGTCACCTAGAAATCCCATGTAAAAATTACTTACATCAGGATCCAGCTCTTCCAGTTCATCCTCTAACTTCCTGAGCTCCTCCTCTGTCAGAGCTCCAAGGATCTTGTCTTCATCCAGGTCTCGGTATTTTTCTAGCTCCTTTCTGTAAGACATCTTAGAGGAGTCTCGTGAATCTCACTTTTATGCTGAAAGAGGACCTGAAAAGAGCACAAGAAGCATAACACTGAGTACATGAAAGACGACACGGTGGCCCATCTGGCTGGGGAATGCCAAATACCACAGAGTTGCAGAAGATTTATGTCTAAAGCGTGGCTGACTTCAAAGCCAGGATTGCTCAGACTCCCCCATCCATATCCTACATGCAAGTAAGAGCCCATGCTCCTGAGAGTGGCACAACTTCACTAGCACATTGTCCCATCACAGGCTTACAGGGCAGCACTGAGGAAGCACTTTGTACAGGACCCTGGCTACAGATGTCAAATGATACCAGATATTAACAGAGTGTCCTGGGCATTTATTTCCTTGAAAGACAATAAATGAGAAACCATAGACTGCAGCTCTCACGCCCTTACAAGCCCCCAGTAACACCCCTCTGCATATGGCACTCCAGATAACATAGTCACCAGATGGGAAAACAGATCTGTGGCATCACTGAGTGCCTCTGAGCCCTGCAAGCCTCCACAAGGCTGCAGTGCAGCACTCCTCTTCATGTTTTAAGGCCAGAAGGAGATCAAGAAGTATTATCCACTTGTGTTCAGGAAGCTGCCAGTTGAACGTGCTGTTTAGTGACCCACCTTCCCCAAGAGAACACGTGTTTTGCTGCTGTAAGCTAAGCAGCTGACCCAAGCGTTACTCCACACCTAAACCAACCCTTCAAGATGAGTAGGAGGAGTAATGTACTAGCTGACCTATCTGTATAAGCCCTTCTGACCCAGGGGTTCATCCCATGTCTCCTACTATAAAATGCCATACGCAATCACACACACGTAACTGACCTCTGCCAGCTCTAAAAGACTGTAGTAGACCTACAAAGGTTAATGTGTTTAAAATATGCAAATGAGTTAAACATACACTCACTACAACACACAAAAACATGTTCAATTCTGCTTTTTTGCTGAAATTTCCATAGAACAGTTGGCACATATAGGGGTCTTTGGCTCCATTTTTGCACAGGGTATTGAACTCTGGGTAATTTAAACTGGCTTTTCCTACAGGTTAACGAAGTCCTGTTATTCACTCAAGTGGCATTTACATTAAAATAACAGCAACGCCTGCTCATTTTCTCAAGGAGCCAAACTGAGTTTCAATAAATGGCCTCTTTTCAGCTTCTGCAGTGTCAGGGCCATACCCCAAGTCACATCTCTCCAGCTTTGCCCATACTCTTTAGGGCAGATCATGTTTTCATGATCGCTCTTCATTAGCGGAGAAGTCTCTTTATGCCACTTACAGCGCAGCTGCTGGTCCAGATAGGAGAATTATCTTTAGCTTGGTCACAAAAGGGCACACTAACACACACATGGCTTGCCAGCAAGCCCTTAAATTTAGAGCTCTCATCTGGTCAGACCTTTGGTGTCCCACTGGTGTGATGGCAATTCTTGCATCACTCGCATTCCTACCACTCACCACTTAGGAGGTGGAGCGCCAGGAAACGTTGCCTCCTGGATGGGAGGAACAACCCCCAAGGCTCCTGCAGGGGGTAAAAACCAGCTTTTTGTGGACCGTTTACTCCATACAGTCAACCTGCAGGCACCAGGGTCAAGGGTAGCAGAGGGTGAAGGAGGAAGCAGGAGCAATGGTGGATCTGGACAAGCAAGGCAGTGGGGACTCCAGCACTCCTGCGCTTTACCAATCCCTGCAGCAGTCAGTGCAAGGCACCTCGAGCTGTGAAACTGATGTGCAGCAGCCATGCAACCCTGCATGGGTCAGGCTAGGAGCCACGTCCAGCAGCTCAGCCCCAGCAGGGCTGCCCTTCTGGTTGGCATAGAGAAAAGCAGAGCCTTTATCACAATCGCACAGCGAGGCCAGGCCAGGTTAGATGGGGTTTTGAGTAACACGGGCGAGTGGAAGGTGTCCCTGCCAATGGCAGGTGGGTTGGAACTGGATGATCTTAAGGTCCTTTCCAATCCAAACCATTCTATGATTCTATGAAGAACAAACACTTGTCATTACAGCAATTTATTATTCTGATGTGAGAGAGCCTAGAAAAGCAGCCTGGACCTGGATCTGGAGATGTGCCATCCCACTGCAACCTTAGCTTAAAGCACACAAACCACTACTAGCCTGTATTTCATATTCAAGTCTTAGTTTTGACTCCCTTGCTGTAGAAGCAGCCAGAGCTAAGAGCAGGCAGGACAGCAGTGGATAACCCACCCTGTGCTGATAAATTCCCTGTAATGACTTAAAATACCCACAGCTGCCATGCACGTGGCAACCTCCATCTTGGTGACGTGTGGACGACCACTCCTGAGGAAGTCCCAGCCCCTTTCTAGCCATGGTGGCTCAAGTGGGATGGAGCTCGGCGGCGCTGACCTTGTTGCCTCCTGCCAGAAGGACGGAGACTGTCAGCACTGAGAGGCGAAAGGCGGGACAGACATCGGACATCAGTGCGCACAGGGAACGCTTCTGGAAAGCGCTTCGGGTTTCAAAGCATCCTGCAGAGATATGAAGCCGGGGCTGCATATAGCAAAGGCCCTGAGGGGTGAGGACAGGTGCAGAGCCTGCTGAAGCATGGCCCAAATCCCCATGGGGAGAGTTCTGTTCCCTATGTACCCCAAGCAGACCTGCTGGGATGGGACAGGGTTCTCAGCCTCACTGGTGCAGCCACACAGTGCCAACAACCCCAGAGCTGCCGCAGCGAGAACATCATGACATGGTGCAGGGTACTGGGTACCGCTCCATGCCACTGGACCAACCCTGCTGGCTGCAGCCTCCAGCATCAGCATGTTCACTTGCTCCCCCTTATCTCCACATCCCTGGCCTCTCATGCTAAGGAGTGCTGGGAGAAAACACAAAATAGCCCATCTTTCATGTGAAAGTTTTATTCCTCTTCTAGTTTTTGTCAGCAAAATAGTCCAGAGTCTTTATCTTGGAAATGTGTCACAATGAGGACAATCAGCCATTGGAATAATCACCACAGGGATGTGGTGGATTCCTCACTGTTGAGTGCTTCTAAAATTTAGCGGGAAAGGGTACTGGGCTATCTTGTCCAGCCTGTGCTTTTGCCAAGAAAGCTTCAACTAGATGATCCTTGAGGTCCCTTCCAACTTGGTATTCTGCTATTCTATGATCTGCTGTAAATGGACAGAGGGCTTTGTACTGACGGAAATAATAAAGCAGGTAAATTCTGCCTAAGCATAACTGTTTTCACTTATACAACGTGCTGGAACAGCCACTGCCACAAACAGCTCTTCCTGACCCCTGCTAGGGTTGAGACATTGTTTAACACAGGTCACCCCACACCTGCACTCCAAAGCAACCCAACACCTCCAGCACAACTCAGTATCATATCCACATGTGAAATCCAGGACATCCACGAAAGAGTTAACCCTAAGTCACCACAAATCTGTTCCATCAAGTCTACTATCAATGCCTTCCTAAGCAGCTTGTATTCTTGCGATTTTCATTAAACCTACCACTACACTTTTAATTCAATCAATAAAGGAAGCATCACACCAAAATATATATGTAGCGTACAGGAGCTGCACAGGACTAATGTTATTACAACTTTAACTCCTCCAAAAATTGAAATTGATATTGACTACAACGACAGCAAGGTATTGGGTTTCATTGTCCAAAGTATTCATCAGACACATGAGAAGACAGCCCAGACACTTGCACTTGGTGAGACTGAAGAGCACACAAGTTGGTACACATGAAGACCAATAAAAAGATTCAAGGAGGAAAATTAAATCATGTGGGAGATGAACATACACCACAGGTCATCTACGCTGGAGACTGTTCCTATCATGAATATAGGAAGACAAAATAAATCAATGGCAAAAAAAGGACAACATTTGGGATTATGATGGGGATGGGACAGTTTCTTTCTGAAGGATCCAAACCCACTGAACAAATGAGTGTTGTAGGACATGTGAAAATGAAAAGCATCCCATATAACACTGGAAATACTCCTTTCACTGCTCTACAGCTGTACAGCCCCCTACAGCACTATGCCTTTCTGGGACACTGAGAGTAGCACCGACCCCTCTGCAGGGAACCAGTGGAGACCTCGGAGGGTGATCCACATGGGATCAGAGTGTCCTATCCACAGCATAAAGCAGAGCAGGCACAGGGGCATGGTCATAGAATCATGGAATGGTTTGGTCTGGAAGAGACCTTCAAAGCTCATCTACTCCAAGTCCCCTGCAACGAGCAGGGACATCTTCAATTAGAACAGGTTGCCCAGAACCACATCCAGCCTGGCCTTGAATGTCCCCACCACCTCTCTGGGCAGCCTGTGACAGTGTTTCACCACCCTCTTTGTAAGGAATTTTTCCTCATGTCCATGCTTACGGCTCTCAGGTGTGCACGCAGGGAGGGCCAGCACAGGGCAGCAGAGGGCTCAGGCTGCAGGAGGCTGCCTGGGGAGGCTGCAGAGCTGCACAGGTATCGCCAAGTGAGGACATGGGCAGGATCATCCCCCAGTGCTCTGGTAACCCCAGGGAAAAGAACAAACAAGAAAGCAGAACTGGGTAAAGCAACAGGAACAGCAGCAAGCAAGACAGAGTCCAAGAAAACACAAAGGTGTCACAGAGGAAACGTGAAGGCTGATTTCCCCTGGCTGCTGCATAATGTGGTGATGGTGGGCTCACACATGTTCCTGCTGCAAAGTCCAGCCTCAACCTGCACAACCTCCCATGTGCACCAGCACGGAAACTACAGAAAGCCCTTTGCATACATGAAGAGGGAGGAAGAGCAACAAATCTCAGCCAAGATACAGGGCTCTTTGGCAATAAATTCTGTTATCAGTCCAAGCCAATCCCCAATTTCAGTGTTTTGCAGCAGGCTTCAGCATCAGGAGGCCTTGGTGCACCCCAAGACACCAGCCACACTGAATCGCCAGCAAAAGGCATAAAGGACAGGAACTCTGTGTACTCTGTCCCCAGTGAAAGCCACAGCAAAAGAAATGCACGTCCCCAGCCTCAGCCAACCCT